CAGGGGGATTGGACTAGTTGATCTTTTGAGGTCCCTTCCAATCTCTAGCATACTGTGATACTGTGATACCTTAATTATCCATGGCCTGAGCATATAAACCCAAGATTTAGGTAGACCTGAGTAAGGAACGCTGAGTGTGAGATGTTATGCTGGGGAAGTCAAACAAGATTATTCAGTAATGATACAGATCCATCCAGCTTTTGCTCCAGATGATAGACTGCTGACAAGGCAGGAAATATGTTCCTTAGAATCATAGAATTAACTAGGTTGGAAAAAACCTTTAAGACCATAAAGTCCAACCATTACCCCACGACTGCCAAGACTGCCACTAAGCCATGTCACTAAAGGCTTCATCTGCACATTTTCTGAACACTTCCAGGGACGGTGATTCCATCACTTCCTTGGGAAGCCTTTTACTGGTACTGGAATTTTTCCTTATTGGGAATCATCACAGAGACAAGACATGTGCCATTCTCTTTCTATTTATAAGTATTTTGTTTAGTCTGCTAAATGTAAGTTAATGTTTCTCAGGACCTGTACATTCAAATTACTAGTCATAAGGGGCTTATGGAATGTTTCCTTTTTTTTTTTTTTTTCCATAGACTAAAATATTGTAGTATTTGCCCTAGAGCTTTAAGTACCCAAAGTATTTTTTTTGCTTTTGTTTGTGTGGGGGTTTTGTATGCAAGTATGTCAGAGCATTGCTGTCGCATTTTCATAAGGATTTTCACTCTTACATATGACAAAATAGTAAATACAGTGTAATAACTTTAAATGGTTATAAAATGATAACCACATTTTCTCATTTAAAGAAGAATTCAGTCTTTGTCTTAAATAGTTACTGTTTTAAAAATATTTCTCAAGTAATTTGGAAGAGACAAGGATTTGGAGAATTATCTCTCTGTCACTTCATGCTAGTACTAATATACCAGTACCCTCTGTTATCCCCATAGTTCTAAAATACTAATTTTAAATCAAATTCATTACGGTAGAATTGTAAACCATATATTTAACAAGGAGAGGGTGTGGATGATGTGTTTAAAAAAAAAAACTGAAGTCCATTAATAAAATCAGAAGAATTCATAAATGCTGAATAGAAACTGAACTCCTTCCAAAAAAATGAGCATACACACACACGCACAAAAAAAAAAAACAACACACAAACCAAACCAACAAACACAAGAAAAGAACCCAAAGTGAACTGCAGCTGTGATTTTTTATTTTTTATTAAGTGAATATTGTATTCAGGATATAAATTTCAGGTGTCGTTATTTCTGACAAAGAGCCATTAGAAAGGAATATACCACCTCAGCTAATACTAATAAACCTTTAAGATGAGGAGTAAAGTCTTGGTGTGAAGTTTTCCTAAGTAAAACTACCCTTTGAACTACATTTAAATTGTTACAATTTGTGATTACTAGACTGTTCAAATAGTTTCTTTTTATGATGAAAGATCATAAATGTCTTTTTTAAAGGTATTATCTGAAAATACTGGTTTTTTTTAAAGCAACAAGCTATTTCAAAGAGGAAAAGGAATATTTATTTTTTTTAGCTGTAAAAGGTGTTATCACAAGAATGTTCTCTGACTTCAGCTTGTACAGCTGAGATTATTGTAAGGATGGGAGGCCTGCAGGATTGATCTCTTTCATCCTTTTTGTAATGTGTTGGCATGTAAAAGATGCTTCAAATTAGGTGAGCAAGATATCAAACAAGCAAAGTTGTTTTTTTTTTTTTTTTTAGCTAGTTGTAGTTAAAATAGATGAAAATGTAGTTTATCATGCCTTTTTTTTTTTGTCTTTTTTCAAAATTTAATTGGCTGTGTTTCTGTCTCCTGCTGAAACTAATAAAAAAACAATTCTTCTTTAATTTGTATTACCAAACACAATTTATATATCTGAGACTTCAAATTTAGTGGAGATGCAGGGAAATCAAAAATAATGTGACGGAATACTGCTCTTGTTAATGCTTAGTACATCTTTTATTTTCTTTAACAACTCCTTTGGATATTGTATGCTTAGACAGATACTGTTGTACCTAAATAACTACATCATTTGTATTCCTAACCATCCATGGGGAAATAAAACATAGGTGCTGACTTCCCATGCCTGTCTTAATACATGTGAGAGAATGGCTGAGGGTCTCTTTGAATAGGTTCATTTGTCATGACACCAGGTCAAAGACTCCACACATGCTAATGGTCTTTTTTCTTCTATTCTGGTACATTATAACTTCCAAAATCTTTCCTGTATTACTTCAAATCTGATGCCTGATCTTCACAAGTGAAGGAAAGGCAAACCTGGGTTTTAGTTTATATATCTATATGTTAAAATAGAACCATCAGATTGTACCTACAGGGTTTAATCAGACCATGGCAGTGTTAGAGGGTAATTTTATTTTATTTTTTGTTTGCTTTTCTAACATTCCTGATTTTTCTGCTTGCTTCAAAATAACAGCCTTTCATCACTGCCTCCTTTCAAAAGTCCTGGTAGTGTGAAAATGCTTCTTGCATACAAGGTGGCAATTTGTACTTCTCATGAATCTATCAAATCAGTATTCACCCTTATCCCAGGAACAAAGCTACTGCAGAGTTGTATACAGCAAATGAAGGACTTTTTTGTGTTAAACAAAAATAAGACTCTTTGGTCAGTTGATCTGATAAATTCTCAGCTAGGAGTTTGCAATATTCATTCGGAGGCTTACATATTTCAGGAGGAATAAGGGATGGGAACACAGTTAAAAGAGTTCTAGGTGTTGGTGCTGGAAGTTAGGGAGTTTGAAGAAATAGCTGGAGAAAGGTTGCTCACAGAAGCTGCGGATGGCCCATCATTGTTCAAGCATCCAAGGTCAGGATGGATAGGACTTTGAGAAACCTGATCTAGTGAAAGATTCCTCTGCCCATGACAGGGATTTGGACTTGAGGGTCTTTGAAGTTCCCTTCCAGCCCAAACCTGGAAACATTCAGGGTCAGGCTGGACAGGGCTCTGAGCAGCCTGATCTAGCTGAAGATGTCCCTGCTCATTGCAGGGGGTTGACTGAATGTCCTTTTAAGGTCCCTTCCAACCCAAATTATTCAGTGATTCTATGGTAAAAGATGAATATGGCTTTAGATTTTTATCCACATAATATTCCTTTCTTTGCGCTGCAGTTTCAGTGAGACATACATGGCTCAATTAAGAATTAATTAAAAAGCAGGAATGGTAAGAAATGGCTAAATATTATGACACCAACTGGAGTAGGGAGACTTCTATTATTACACTGCTGTTTGAATATGCCTACCTCAAGAATTATCTGAGGCTTTTAGTGGTTCGTTGGTGTATCAGATGCTTTGTCTATTATGATTTATTTTGAACTCTGTTTGCATCTGCATCATCCATATTGTTATTTCAAATGCTGAATATCTTATAGTTGTTGACATTTCATTAGAGAAAAGGAGAAAATCTTGACTTTAAAAACTTTAGGGAAAGAAAGTCTAACTTCAGGCTAAAATCAAATTGACGCAATCATCAATCCAATGCAGTCATCAATCCAGGACATTTGAATTTTTTCATGCCTGGCTGCATTATATTCAGGCAGCAAGAGGTATTGTTCAAAATTCACCATTGTAAGGAATCACGAGGGCATTTTTCTTCCTAACACAAATCCCAAACTGAAAAAAATAGAATCCCTGGAACAGGACAAGTAACATGTGCTTTGTTGCACTGAGGCTGGAAGAGGCCACCTACAAGAAACAGAAATGAAAATTTAAAGAATTAATAAGTGCATTTCACAAACTTTTTTTTTGCTTGTGTTTCCTCTGGTAATGCTACATATGGTGTATGTTACCAGGACTGTAAATAAATGGCACCTGTATAAATCAGTTGCATAAAAGGCATATTTTTCATCCAAAACCTGCATTTTTTTTGGTGATATAATATGTGGCTGAACAGTAAACTTATGTAGCTCATAGGTTTTGATTGATTAAAAAAAAATATATTTGTGTTGTCTTTCTGATAAAGAACAAGGAAATCACAGAAGCACCAAACTATGCCTGTATCAATGGTAGTCTGAAATGTGCTTGAGGATTTCATTATAAGTCTTGATTTACAAGGAGTATGTCTCTGCTAAGTACTTGTTGTACATTTAACGCTTTTATCATTTAGTCGGTACACATTTTGTAAGAATATATTTCCTCAGCATTGGGGTTTCTAACAAATTCAGCCATTCAGATGATCCTAAAGGATTTAGTAGAAAGAGAGACATTTGCAGAATAGATATAAACAGCGTATTTATGTATTGATTTATAGGGCAGAAAGAAAACCTGTATAATTCAGTCATGGAACTGAACAGGTCGGTAAATAGTTTATAAATGTACACTGACACTGTATGGAGTTTTAAATGATTTCACACATTATAAAGATGTTAAAGGTCCAGAGTAGGATCAGTTTATCTTCCTTTTGGTCTTCTAAAACTTGGCATTGTACCGTTAGGAAAGTTTACTGCAAAGTGTTTTGGTGAAACAACAAAGAACTGGGTACTGGAAGAGTGGTGAATGTTGGGTGAAGGAAATCCAACAAAAGGCAAAATTAACGATACCTGACAAAGTAATCTTTTAATGTTGTTACTTTGATATCTGTTTAATATTTGCTGAAACAAGTATAAAAGAGAAGTATAAACAGCAAAATAATTAAAGAACACATAAAGATAAGTCTGTAAAATAGGAATTTGTTCTGCTCCTTAAGAAGAATGTAGGTTGAAACAGATATAACCTTGGTGCAGAGGAATTAATGAGTGACTGAAGACAGTAGCACTTTGCTTCCCCTCCAGATTTCTCAGATTCAGTTTATTATGACTTCAGAGAAAGGATGGACATTCAGTCATTATTACCTGGTTATTATAAAACTCTTATAATTTTCAAAGCTAATGTTAAATTAGTATTTTCCCACTGTTTCTTTTACTTATGAACATTTTCTTATTTATTTATTAAAAAAATGCTTTACTTTTCTAAACTCTTAATATTACAGAGCATTAAAGATAGCCTGGAGAGACTGCTGGGTCATGTAGACATTATTAACAAAAAGAAGATGCCAGCTTTGCAAAGTGCTACACCGAGGGAAGCAGCAAATATACAAGAAAAGATGACTCAGCTTAATCTTCAATGGGAAAAAGTTAACAAGATGTACAGGGACCGACAGGCGTAAGTAACTTTTAAAAATTGCTATTTTTGTTGGCATCTATTAGTATTTGACCTGCTGTTGGTGTTTGTTTCCTAGTTGTCTTTTTTTTTGGTGGAAATGCCTTTTAAAGTCTCGAATGATACTTTCCTGTAACTAAGAATATACAATGTTTATAAGGAACTGTAATATAATTTATGAGCAAACTTGTAAAATTGAATATATTTTGACCAACTACCACTTGCCTTGGACCAAAATCTAGCATGATATTGGGTATATATTCCCATGTCATTATAACTGACATTCCTTTACCCTAAGATAGTATCTGGCATTTAGTCTTTTGTACCTGTACTCTTGATTTGAATCTGTGATAGCTGCATCAGGACAAAATCCCTTTTAATTGCAGAGGATTTATGAGTTTGAAGAGCATTTCTCAGTTTATGTATAATTGTTAGCAACTCTAAATCCAGTGTCATCTTTATATATCTGTATATTAGATATTATATGACAGGGCAGAACAATCGAGAAATATAGAAAGGCATTAAAATGATAATAAATAAAGATGTGATCTACAGTACCCTATAATACCTAGTATTATTTTTCTCCTGGCATAGTATTTCTGATGTTTGTAATCTGGGAATCATATTATGGTGCAAAATATAGCCAAACCTAATTTTTTAATTCAGACATGGCTTATGTTAGTAGCGTATTAGAGAGTAACAATCCAGTAAGTTATTTATACTCCACAGTAGATATCTGATGCTTAAAATTTTTGGCATTGTGTAATAAAATGCCCACTTCCTCTTTCAATTTTTTAAGTAGCTGATATACTGGCATTGATACAGAAATTTCTATTATGTGTATTATGCATTATACTTGTTTTCAATATCAGTAATCTAAAAGTTAACAAATAAGTTTGACTTAAAAAGAAAGTCATAGTTTCAAGCATTTATTGAATTACCACAGAATCAGCAGGTTGAGGGAAGTGATTCTGCCCTTCTATTCTGCTCTTGTGAGACCCCACTCAGCTCTAGGGCCCCCAGCATAGGAAGGATGTGGACCTGTTGGAGTGAGTCCAGAAGAGGGCCCTGAAGATTATCAGATGGCTGGAGCACATCTCCTGTGACACGCTGAAGAGAAGGCTCCAGGGAGAACTGAGAGCAGCCTTTCAGTACCTAAATGGGGCCTACAAGAAATCCTGAGAGGAGCATCTTACAAGAGCAATTAGTAACAGGACAAGGGGGAATAGCTTTAAACTGAAAGAGGGTAGATTTAGATTAGTTCTGAGAAAAAAAATTTTACTGTGAGAATGGTGAGACAGTGGAACAGGTTGCCCAGAGAAGTTGTGGCTGCCCAATGCCTGGAAGTGTTTAAGGTCAGGTTTCACGGGGCTTTGAGCAACCTGGCCTAATGGAATGTGTCCATGCCCATGGCTGAGAGATTGGAGTTAGGTGATCCTTAAGGTCCCTTCCAACCAAAAGCATTCTGTGATTTTCTTAAAAGTCCTTGCAGTTCTTCTGAGAATGTAAAACATTAATCTGGTCAGGAAGATCGTTAAATATATATGACTGGTTTCATTTACTGAAATTGTCTGTTCATAGGAATTTTACAAAATTGGCTCTTCAGACAACGCTGAAAACTTGACATTCAAAGTTTCATTTGATATGATGACTGCAAAAACAACTCAGAAACTAGTCTTACTTGGCTTTTTTTCAGAATAATTCTCATGGTTTTAGCTTAATGTTCAAATAATGATCGTGTTGTGTAGTAGGAAGACATGAATCTAAACATGTAAGCAGTGACTCTAAGAAAATAAAACCTTCCTATGGTCTTATACTGAACTGATTTTGCCCTTGGCAACTTTTGTGTTTTCTTTGTTTAGGATTATTGGTTAACTACTGTCACTTTGCAGATTTGTACAGAAATATTATTTCAACTGTCAGCCAGTCACTAACTTTGTTTTTAGGTTACTGGAGAAAAAGAGGGCAAAGCTTAAATAAAATAATAGAGAGAATCATAGTAAAAGATATAATTCAGTAATCTTCATGTCATCTCTGCTTTGTCTCAACATTTAAGTTGTAAGTGTAAGAAACTGAGACGGATTTATAATCTGGTTTCCAGATTCGCCCATGTGCAGTACTTTTTTTAAATAGTAAGCCTAAATCTGGTTTAGTAAAATAAATTCTTCTGGTTGTCATGATGCCATGTACAAATACGAAGGGTACGTAAGTTAGAAGCAGAGACTAGAGCCAAGCTTCTCACACAGATAATAAAAGGCGGGCATATTTCTGCTGTGCTTTCCCCAAGACTGGCTTTGTCCAAACCCTTACCGGTACAGCAGACCAAGCTCTGAGAAACCTTTGGAATCTTCCCATGCATTTTCTACCACTAGTACATAGAAAGGAGAGTGATTTATGGTTAGCTGAAAGCTTGGACCACCAGGACTGCCAATCAGTTGTCCCTTGTTTAGACTACAGTGATATTTAGCCAGCAGCAGAAAGCGTTCTGAAGTGAAATGGATTAATATTTGTCAAGTATTTCGAGGTCATCAGATACAGGCACTAGAGAAGTGTAAAGTATGACTACTCTCCAGCTGGCATTTGCCTAGGGGAGTCATCCTCTTATAGTATGATGGACAGCAACTCAAGCTGATGATAAGCTTGACTGCTGTCTGGAATTTCATGCGTTTGTTTTTGTTTTAAATTTTTTGTTTGTGGTGTCTGTCTTACTATGTTTCTACTACTGTTTCAGTGGTTTTGTTTGAACTCTGAGGTGAGCGATATAGCTTCTGCAGTTTTGAGAAGTGCATTTGGACTGCACACAAATGCCAGGGAGGAAATGAAGGAAGACAATATAGCCTTTAGCATTTTGCTTCTAGCAGCTGGAGTCCGTAAGGGGTGAAAGTATCCATGTAAGTCTGCCTTTGAGAAATAGATAGAGCTGTGTTTGTGAGATGACACACTAGTGAAGATGATGGTTTAGGACAGATTTTGATTTATTATTGGAGCTCTGCCTTGCTTTCAAGAGAGTGTGTCTAAGTCAATGTGAGTATGCCATGTTTGAAAGGTTACAGATGTACTATATATATGTTCATTTCTGAATATTGGTCTTAGAAAATCAAAGGGTTGTAATAGCATGGAACTTTAAGTAAATGAAAAGTCAACTATCATGATGATGGAAGAACAAAACAACTTTCCTTACCCATGTAGTTACAAACAGAGAGCTTACTCTGGATTTCATATAAATCAATAGAAACATTCATGTTGATATTTTTTATGTGAAATAGAACTCCTGGAAGACCTTATTAATTTCTAGATACTTTGTAATTAACTTTATAGTGAGTTCCTTTTAATTAGAAATCAAAATAGATTTTTAGTTAGTTTTACAATAGGTCATGTGCCAGTTTGACAGAAATTCATTGTTATGGTAGATATTCAAATAGCTTTACAAGGCTAGTTCTTCTACAGTATCTGAAAACTTGTTTCATATTGTCCTTTTAGCATGTTTCCTGTATTTAAACAAGTGCTTATACTGTGATTACTATAAGCTAAAAGGCAATATTTCACTGGAAAAGTGTAAGTAAAAATGCTGTGTTTATGCTAGTGTACACTTGGTTGTATTAGAAAATAGGATGAATGCATTGTTTTATTCTTTTCACAAACTCATTGAAACATTAGTCTTCAACTGACTAATTTTTAAGTAAAACACTTAAGTAAAACATTTTCCAATAGTTGTATTAAGATAACATAATCTAAATTTTGTAAGGGAGTTCCATTACAGTGCTGGTAAGAATAACCATTCAGATTTCATGTCATGTACCAGATTTTAACCATATTTGCAGCAGCTTTAGATACTGTTTTTTTTATATTAATCATGACTTTTTATGAACTGATGCTAACACCAGGTCCCTATATATCTTCAGTTAGAACACATAATATTTGAAAAAACAAATCAGTAAATAATATAAAATAGATCGTAAATGAATGTCTTATATCGCTTATAACTTATCAACTTACTACTTCTCAAAGGCACTGTTTCTTTTCTCAGGACACAGTCTTCCAAGAATATGTCTTCCTCAGTCTTCTTTCTGTGAACAGCACGTGCTCACTAAAAGTGTTCATTTCTAACAGTGCCAGAAGTCATCATAGGATCATAGACATAGAATAGTTAGGGTTGGAAAGGAACTTAAGATCATAGAATCATAGCAAAATAGAATATTTAGGGTTGAAAAGGACCTTAAGATCATCAAGTTCCAACCCCCCTGCCATGGGCAGGGACACCTCACACTAAACCATATCACCCAAGGCCTCATGCAACCTGGTCTTCAACACTGCCAGGGATGGAGCATTCACAACCTCCCTGGGCAACACATTCCAGTGCCTCACCACCCTAACAGGAAAGAATTTCCTCATTATATCCAATCTAAACTTCCCCTGTTGAAGTTTGAACCCCTTACCCCTTGTCCTATCACTGCAGTCCCTAAAGAAGAGTCCCTCTCCAGCATCCCTATAGCCCCCCTTCAGATACTGGAAGGCTGCTATGAGGTCTCCACGCAGCCTTCTCTTCTCCAGCCCCAGCTTTCTCAGCCTATCTTCATACGGGAGGTGCTCCAGTCCCCTGATCATCCTTGTGGCCGTTCTCTGGACTTGTTCCAACAGTTCCATGTCCTTTTCATGTTAAGGACACCAGAACTGTACACAGTACTCCAGGTGAGGTCTCACAAGAGCAGAGTAGAGGGGCAGGATCACCTCCTTCAACCTGCTGGTCACTCTCCTTTTGATGCAGCCCAGGATATGATTGGCTTTCTGAGCTGCAACCACACACTGCTGGCTCATGTTCATTTTCTCATCGACCAACACCCCCAAGTCCTTCTCCACAGAGCTGCTCTGAATCTCTTCTCTGCCCAACCTGTAGCTGTGCCTGGGATTGCTCCGACCCAGGTGTAGGACATTGCACTTGCCATGGTTAAACTTCATGAGTTTGTCATCAGCCCACTTCACAAGTGTGTCGAGGTCCCTCTGGA